TGCTCTATTCATGGGATTTCTATCTGCAACATTCGAGAAGGTTTTGCAACTTAATGTGGCCCTGGTAACATTACCAGTTACATTACCTGCAACTCAATATTAGGAAGGTGTTCTTAATGTCTTGTACACTCAGTGTATATTCTTGTATATGTTTGTAATATTTCTGCTGTTGGGAAGATAATTGTTATGCAGAAGGTGATGTATGTTTGTGCACATGGAAGTCTGATTCATGTTTAGTATTGGTTAATCATCATTTTGACAATAACTAGACTAAATCATTATTCAAATGACAAAAATGTGACTAAGACTTAATTATGTTTTAGTCAAAATCACTAAGACTACACTCAATTTAAAAAAAATAGTGCCAAACTCACACTGATTTGGATAGGAAGAAACACTGTGCTGCTCTATTCATTGACTTATCTAAAGTGTGCGACACTGTCGACCATCCTTTACTAATTCAAAGATTGTCTGAACTCGACCTGGATCAGATAACGTTAGTAGTTTTGTTAGCTATAGACTAGGTCATTCCTGTATGTTTTACTGTCTATGTAAATAATATTGGTCGATCTGCATTTTTTTTAAACGTACACCTGTTTGCAGATGACACTGTTGTGTATGCTATTGCCAACACTGTTGACCAGGCTTTTTCGGAAACGCAATCTGCCTTTGCTGCTTTGCAGAAAGCCTTTGTTGAACTGAAATTGGCACTTTATGGAGTTAAAACCAAGTACATGATGTTTTCCAATTCACTTGTATCTGATGATTTATGCATGTGTATATTGGATGCTGCCCACATTGATCGTGTCCCCTCTTATAAATATCTGGGCATCTGGATTGACGATAAGTTTATCTTTTAAAAAGCATATGGATGAGTTAGTTAATAATAAAAATGGGCTTCTTCTTTGTACAGTGCCTTCGGAAAGTATTCAGACCCCTTGACCTTTTCTGCATTTTGTTACGTTACAGCCTTATTATAAAAATGATTAAATTGTTTTTTTTTTCCCTCATCAATCTAAACACAATACCCATAATGACATAGCAAAAACAGGTTTTTATACATTTTTCCTAATTTATGTATTTTATTAAACGTACATATCACATTTACATAAGTATTCAGACCCTTTACTCAGTACTTTGTTGAAGCACATTTAGCAGTGATTACAGCCTCAAGTCTTCTTGGGTATGACACTACAAGCTTGGCACATCTGTATTTGGGGAGTTTCTCCCATTCTTCTCTGCAGATCCTCTCAAACTATGTCAGGTTGGATGGGGAGCGTTGCTGCACACCTATTTTCAGGTCTCTCCAGAGATGTTCGATGGGGTTCTATTCCGTGCTCTGGCTGGGCCACTCAAGGACATTCAGAGACTTGTCCCGAAGCCACTCCTGCGTTGTCTTGGCTGTGTGCTTATGGTCGTTGTCCTGTTGGAAGGTGAACCTTCGCCCCAAGTCTGAGGTCCTGAGCGCTCTGGAGCAGGTTTTCATCAAGGATCTCTCTCTACTTTGCTCCGTTCATCTTTGCCTCGATCCTGACTAGTCTCCCAGTCCCTGCTGATGAAAAACATCCCCACAGCATGATGCTGCCACCACCATGCTTCACCGTAGGGATGGTGCCAGGTTTCCTCCAGATGTGACTCTTGGCATTCAGGCCAAAGAGTTCAATCTTGGTTTCATCAGACCAGATAATCTTGTTTCTCTTGGTCTGAGAGTCTTTAGGTGCCTTTTGCCAAACTCCAAGCGGGCTGTTGTGTGCCTTTTACTGAGAAGTGGATTCCGTCTGGCCACTCTACCGTAAAGGCCTGATTGGTGGAGTGCTGCAGAGATGGTTGTCCTTCTGGAAGGTTCTCCCATCTCCACAGAGGAACTGTAGCGCTCTGTCAGAGTGACCATTGGGTTCTTGGTCACCTCCCTGACCAATGCCCTTCTCCCCCGATTGCTCAGTTTGGCCGGGCGGCCAGCTCTAGGAAGAGTCTTACTGGTTCCAAACTTCTTCCATTTAAGAATGATGGAAGGCACTGTGTTCTTGGGGACCTTCAATGCTGCAGACATTTTTTGGTACCCTTCCCCAGATCTGTGCCTTGACACAATCCTGTCTCGGAGCTCTACGGACAATTCCTTTGACTTCATGGCTTGGTTTTTGCTGTGACTTGCACTGTCAACTGTGGGACCTTTTATAGACAGTTCTGTGCCTTTCCAAATCATGTCCAATCAATTGAATTTACCACAAGTGGACTCCAATCAAGTTGTAGAAACATCTCAAGGATGATCAATGGAACCAGAATGCACCTGAGCTCAATTTCGAGTCTCATAGCAAAGTGTCTGAATAGTTATGTAAATAAGGTATTTCTGGTGACACCATTTATATGAATGCAACTTCCGCTACACTGAAACCATTAGATGCAGTTTAGAACAGCACACTTCACTTTATTATGGGTGACAGGTTCAGTACACATCATTGCATCCTATATCAGAAAGTAGGCTGGCCCTCTCCTAAGTCTCGTAGATCAATACACTGCTCTCTTTTTGTTTATAAAGCCCTCTTGTGCAAACTTCCATCATACCTTACTTCATTGTTAAATTACAGTGATACGAGTTACCAGACCTGATCACAGGGATTGCTTACTCTAGATGTCCTGTTGATCACTACGGAATTAGGTAAATCTGCATAAAGTTTTTGGGCGCCCCATATTTGGAATGATCTGCAGAGCTCTCTGCACCTTTTTACAATGATGGCATTTCAGTAATTGTGCAATTAACAGCATAATAATAACTTTCTGAGGTAGTCTTTATTTCCATGTGAACTTAATTTTAGTGTATACACTCTTAGAAAAGAAGGTGCTATCTAGAACCTAAAAGGGTAATTCAGCTGTCCCCATAGGAGAACCCTTTGAAGAACCGTTTTTGGTTTCAGTTAGAACCCTTTTGGGTTCCATGTAGAACCCTTACCCCAGGGGGCTCTACACGGAACCCAAAAGGGTTCGACCTGGACCCAAAAAGGGTTGGGGACAGACGAAGAACCCTTTTGGAGTGTTAACAAACAAACTCACAGAGCTACCAGTCCTGTCATTTCTTTCCTAAGCGTCAACATCACATCAGCCCTTCACAGCTTTTCTCGATCGCTAAGACACTTTCAATTAAACTTTTATTGAAACTGATCTCCATCATAACCTAATGAGCACAACAGTATAATAAGTAAGTTCTCATTGTTTTCACACAAAATGCAAATGCTAAGCAGTAAACACAACTCTCTACAAAAGATGTAAAACTCAGTTGAGTAAATCATGTAAACATTTGGTGACAGCTGATACAAATTACACCCATGAATGTGAACCTCTTTTGCACATGTGCATAAATTCTTTACACAATTGTTCAATCAGCAATTAGTCCTTTTTCATGCATTAAAAAGATCACTCACCTCTGAATTGCTGTTTGCAAGAATGGACCAAGTAGGAGGCCGAGGGCAAGGACAAAGGAGAGGTAGAGGGGCCCATAGACGAAGAGGGGTTCAGATGTGTGGAGGTGGAAAGTTTAAGATGACCTTCTACATGACCTGATGTCCCTCCTAGACACAATGACTGCCTATTGTATGGCAATCACTGCAGAGGACTGCCAAGCGTGAATGCGCCATGCAAGGAGATATTTTTCCTCGCTGCACTGCAAGGGAAAACATCCAGTGTGATGTGGATGAAAACATGTGGCCTGATTGACAAGAACAACTGGACTGAATGTGGTGTGTACTGTATTGGTGTTGGCTTTTTTTTTTTTTTTTTTTTTACATTGCTTTGTTTTTGCAGTGATTTGTTAGCTTGGTGTATTTACATTTTACTCTCTGTATATACTGTACAGCATCATTTAATTTGTAAAGGACAACATGGAAAAAGGTCAAAGAAAGCATTTTGTTTTTGGATATTCATGGTCCGATTGACATTCTTTCTGCTTTGGTCATCTTTGGTAAAATCATTTTAGGAATAAAGAATACAGCCCATGTTGTGATAATATATTTACTTGCCTTTTATGGTGAATACTATAATTATAGTATCAACAAATGGCAGAGAAATATAAACTCAGCAAAAGCCTATTGCGGACAGTCTGAGCACTAATGGAAGGATTGTGCGTTCCTGGTGTAAGTCAGGCAGTTGTTGTTGCCATCCTGTACCTGTCCTGCAGGTGTGATGTTCGGATGTACCGATCCTGTGCAGGTGTTGTTACACGTGGTCTGCCACTGCGAGGACGATCAGCTGTCCGTCCTGTCTCTCTGTAGCGCTATCTTAGGCGTCTCACAGTACGGACATTGCAATTTGTTGCCCTGGCCACATCTGCAGTCCTCATGCCTCCTTGCAGCATGCCTAAGGCACGTTCACGCAGATGAGCAGGGACCCTGGGCATCTTTCTTTTGGTGTTTTTCAGAGTCAGTAGAAAGGCCTCTTTAGTGTCCTAAGTTTTCATAACTGTGACCTTAATTGCCTACCGTCTGTGAGCTGTTAGTGTCTTAATGACCGTTCCACAGGTGCATGTTCATTAATTGTTTATGGTTCATTGAACAAGCTTGGGAAACAGTGTTTAAATCCTTTATAATGAAGATCTGTGAAGTTATTTGGATTTTTACGAATTATCTTTGAAAAACAGGGTCCTGAAAAAGGGACATTGAGTTTATAAGAGGGTTAACCATGTTAGGGTATATTGGTAGTTGTAGTTAGTATTTATTGGGCCATTGTGTAACGATTGATTGAAATAACTTTTCATTAGATAACAAGTTGTATGTTTTGATGAAGGTAGTTGATTTTGTGTCATGTATTCAATGTTTTGAGAGTTTTAATGCATTTTGCAAATGAAATTAGTTGGGGCTGCATGGTAATTTTTTCGATAAAGTGAATTCTCTTTGGACACATTTTTTAAACAATCGAGAAAGCAATGTAGCAAATTACTGTTTATGTTATTAGAGAAGAACTATGATATTTAAGTCAATGTGTTGATATTGAGTCTCTCTTTCTCTCCACAGTACTCTGTGCAGCCCAGCATTCAGCCCAGACTGAGACTCGGCAGGTGAAAGGCATTGTGGGAATGTTGATCTATTTTCCAGAGACGGTGTTGGATTCTGGCAGTTTACTTTATGGAGACCTTGGCAATATTGCACAGGTGTACCCTGGTAAACAAAGTAATATAAACCTTGTGAAGAGATTTAAAAACCGCCTTAACTGGAACAATGTTACTGGATTCTTCACTTTGTCAGACCTACAAATAGAAGATTCTGGGGTTTATACTGTGGAGAATGCAGATGAAGTTGAAGAGAAGACGACACATACATTTCAGCTGACTGTGTACTGTAAGTGTGTGTGTGTGTGTGTGTGTGTGTGTGTGTGTGTGTGTGTGTGTTTGTGTGTGTGTTTGTGTGTGTGTGTGTGTGTGTGTGTGTGTTTGTGTGTGTGCGTGTGTGTGTGTGTTTGTGTGTGTGTGTGTGTGTGTGTGTGTGTGTGTGTGTGTGTTTGTGCTGTAATTTACAAAGTCATTAAAGCGACAATCAGCAGTAGAAACAATAACAAAGTGTACTCCCCGCCCCTAGTTCTGTAAAAAAAAGCTGAGGGATAGGGCTGGAGAAATGTAACCACTCTTAAATTCATAGACATAGCTATGGATGCAAGGACTGATCAACCATTATATACAAATTATAGTTGTAACCATGTTTTGAGACTATATAGTGTTTGTTTACAATTTATTTGTTTACTAACACTGGAGTAAAACAAGCTGATGGGTTCTCCTAAGCTCATGAGGCATTTATAAGTTATATTCTTCAAGAATCAATGGGTCCATATCATTAATGTATAAGTCCAAAAATGGATGAAGCAACTGCTCTTTGCCACTTTAAAGATAAGTTCCATTTCACAAATTCTCATTTTTTCATTATGTGTCTTCCAGATGTTCTGTCCAAACCTCAGGTGACAGTCCATGACAACAGCTCTTGTACCGTGGTGTGTTCTGTGGAGAACGGAAGAGAGGTGACTCTGTCCTGGTACAGAGGAGGAGAGATACTCAACCAGAGCAGCAGCCCTGACCTCAACATCACCCTCTCTCTACCTCTCAAGGTGGATGAACAGAACAGAGACTCTTACAGATGTGAGGCTGCCAACCCAGTCAGCAAGGAGAGCGCTGTTGTTACACATTTCTGTATAGAGAGTGATCCCTCCAAGGTGACAGGTAAAAACATTTACAGTAGCAATGTTAAATTGCTTATATCCAGACAATACCAAATTGAATATGAAACAATAAGTATGGTAGAGCTCATTTTATGAAACACAATGTTTTAATAAAAATATTGTTTTCTCTCTTTTTACTTTAGATGGTGATGAGAGGACTCGAGGTTGTCTTACTATTGCTGTAATCTGCGTTTTGGTTGCCTCAGGACTTGTTGGACTTGCAATCTATCTAAAGAAGAGGAGAAACGGACAATCACAAGCAGGTATTCATCTTTTAGTGGGGTTTGGTCATTCTCCTTGTCAAAGTAAAAACATGTTGTGCACAACCTTTTAAAATTATCAAGGATAGTGTTTTGGAAAAGGAAGGAAATGTTTGCCTGAACAACGGATGCAGGTCAAATGAAGAGGCATATCTTCCACACTTCCTCTGCTTGGTCAGACAGTTACATTATCTCTCACCACTTCTCTAAATGTTGAAAAAGCAGAAGGCACATACACACACAAGCACACTCTGACAATCATTACTTTATAGCTTCTCTGGCACCAAAAAGACCCCTAGCACAGACTCCGGTACCCATTGTAACATGAGTCCTTAGTGTTTGCAGAACCTGTCTTGGGTTGAGCATTTGTGCATATCTGTCAGTTACTCCCACCCACACTGTATATTTCATTTCCTTTATTTGCCTTTATAGATTCACCCGAAAGAAAGCAAGATGACATTCAGTACGCAGAGATAACTCACATTAAACCAGCAGATAACCAGGTTAGTAATAATGCTACAGGCTGATAAACATAGGAGACGTAATACAGCAGTTTTGTTACAACTATAGCCTTTAGCGCTGTGCCAGTGAGTTAATGTGGTCTTGAGTTGCACAGACAACCTGAGTTTAATAACCGTCCTGATGTCATTGCAACCAGTTTTGCCCATATGAAATGGTCGTTTTGCACAATGAGAAGCCACACTGCACATTTTTTTTTTACATATTGTATACACAGTACCAGTCAAACGTTTGGACACACCTACCCATTCAAATGGGTTTGTTTACATCCCTGTTAGTGAGCATTTCTTCTTTGCAAGATAATCCATCCACCTGACAAGTGTGGCATATTAGGAGTATTTCTGTCTTTAATTAAGCCCATTTGTGGGGAAAAACTCATTCTGATTGTCTGGGCCTGGCTCCTGCATGGGTGGGCCTATGCCCTCCCAGGCCCACCCATTGCTGCGCCCTTGCCCAGTCATGTGAAATCCATAGATTAGAGCCTAATGAATTCATTTCAATTGACTGATGTCCTTTTATGAACTGTAATTCAGTAAAATCTTTGAAATTGTTGCATGTTGCATTTATATTTTTGTTCAGTATAGTAATGCCTTTGATCTTCCTGTGCCTTTTACAGTATTTGCCAAGTCTGTGGACATTTAAGCTTGGCTTCGTGGTTCCTCCCACTAGATTTAGGAATGGTCCTAGATGTGTTGACTGTTGAGTTGCCTACTGCAGAACAATGAGACTAGACAAGAGAACGTCAGACATGTCTTGTTTCCTTCCTCTGGTGCAAAGTATCTAATAACGAAACATATTATCCTATTTTCTTTGTTATTTTTTGCTTTCCTATACCTCCCCCTCTCTTTCCTTGTCCCTCTCAATCCTTCCCTCCCCACCTCCCCCCCTCTCCCTGCCTAGGAGGAGCTAACAAGTATACAAGGACTGGAGGCGCGTAGAGACAACCCTAACCTTACATTAGTTTATGATACACTCCAGTTACATCGCATGGCTGCCAGCGAGGATGTTAACACTGCATGAAGGAGCAAAACAGCAAGGTTCTGAGAGGGTGACATGATAATTCACATCCAAGAGAAGGCGTTACATCCTAAAGAGGACGTTAAGACAAAATTATAGTAAATATTCATCTAGAAAACTTAATGGAGGCACAGTTGTTACTGGAGAAAATTCCTATTTAACCATTAAGATGTTGTTATCATTTCAGACTTCCTTTGTTGGTCATTCTCACAGTCTTTTGTTGAATTGGGGCTTCGATGAGATTCAATGATACAGACAAATTCAATAGCTATGCCTAGGGTTATTAGTAGGATGATCCCTCTTTTCAATTGCCCATTGTCCCAATTTATAGGTTAAAACAAATGGAACCTATCTTTTAATCAAATTCACTAGTGCGTTTGCTATGCTATGCTTTTTTTCAGTACTGTCTGTTCTGTTTAAATGTAGGTGCCTCCCCTGTATCTTTTTATAGCTGGTCATTGTTTAGCTTGCCAGTGGATAGCAGCTGTATACATAAAAAGCAGATGTTTGGTGAGATAAAGCCACCTACTCCTTAGAGGCAATGGCTGTTAGGCTACGATGGAAACAAAAAGTCCATAGGTTGATTTTTTCCTTTCACCATGTAAATTCTATTGAATTATTTCTGAGGGGTAGATCTTGATTTGCCTTTTGACTCAGAAAGGGATCTTTGGTGACATTTTAATCATTGCTTTTTGCAAAATGCAGAGATAATTAAGTGTAGTTCAGGTCTTGCTTTGATGACAACTGTGTTCATGCATTTTGAATGTACGAAATTAACAGTTTAGTTTATTATGATGGACCATTCATTGCTTGTCCTTATCTAGACAGTATGTAGCTCATTATCTCTTAAGAATACAATCACTCCCTCCGGCACGCTCCTACAGACACTCCTTCTATTAAAGCATTTTGTGCTCCACCTACGTTAGCCCACATATATAACTGTGAAAAAATACAAAATCTACTGATACCATCGTGAGTTGTTGCACTGTAGGCTATTTCATTTTTATAAATTTCTATTTCAGAGTAGTTACTGAGACTGAATATTCAGATAATATAATTCACATTTCAATATTCTAAAATAAGCTTATGACTTATTCAAACTGATAAAGTGTACTGAGCTTCTTTTTTTGTTCTGAGCTTCAAAATATTAAGTCAGACTTGCACATACATTCCATAAATTTCCTAATGTTAAATGGTCGTCAATCCCCCATACATGCTTGAAAAATATACTTACCTTATCACAACCCAAAACATGATTTAAGTTTACTCCATTGTTTATATTTTTGTTTTCATTTGAGTTTTTGTAAACAAAGAATGTATTACTACAATAACATTTGAAAACTGTTAGACTTTGCATCCATAGCTGCATTCAAGAGTTTGAGATTGGCACAATTTCTCCAGATTCTGGTTTTAATGTTTGACCTAGATAGTTTGTGTTTAGTGGTCCTCTGTAGCTCAATTGGTAGAGCATGGCGCTTGTAACGCCAGGGTAGTAGGTTCGATCCCCGGGACCACCCATTCGTAAAAATGTATGCACGCATGACTGTAAGTCGCTTTGGACAAAAGCGTCTGCTAAATGGCATATTATTATATTATTTATGTATTGATATATAGGCTACGTGTGCCTTTTTTTTATTGATGTAGTTCTGTCCTTGAGCTGTTCTTGTCTATTAATGTTCTGTATTATGTCATGTTTTGTGTGGACCCCAGGAAGAGTAGCTGCTGCTTTTGCAAAAGCTAATGGGGATCCTAATAAAATACCAAATGTACCATACTTCTAGGGTCAAACTAGGAGGGACCACTGTAATTGTTTGGTGGTTTTCAAGTGTGTTTCTCTATTTGAGTTTAAGTTTATTTGGGACGTTTTGTCCAGTTACTTTTAATGCCAGGCAGCTGTACATTTCTAATTTGAAAAGAATGATGACGAATCCTATTAAAGTTCAAGCATTGCTTTCAAGGAAAACATGTTTTTCTTCTAATGTATTTCCCCATCTAGTGGTTGATCGTTTTTATCATCTAGTGGTTGAATGGTTTTATATTTCAGCATACTGTATACTGTACTGTGCATACTACACTATTTTGTACTCTGAGCCAGTGTGCTATATATTGTAAGTGTAACTTAAATAATTTGTCAGCTAAATGTTCTCATACCTTTCTATGCTTTTACGTTTGGACTGTGGTCATGCATTCTTGTGCCAATTGATATTTTATATAAAAACATGTCTTGTAAATTATGTTATTTTTAATTGCATTTGGTCAGAAAATATGAGTGCCTCATTTATCATTCTGTGCAAATTCAGATTGTTCAATGTTGGGAGTTCAGTGTTTTGTTACAGGAAATGAGTATCAAACCCAGATTAGCCATACAGTCTTTCAGTCTGCAGCAGCATGGACAAGGTGGTGAGTACCTTTATATTTTCACTTTGATTAAAAAAATGGATTCACTGAAATTAAAAACAGAAATACCTTATTTACATAAGTATATGGACCCTTTTCTATGAGACTCGAAATTGAGCTCAGGTGCATCATGCTTCCATTCAACTCAGTTCAATTCTAATGAGAGATGAATCAGTTAACAGTCACAGATACAGTAAATGTGTACTTTATAATCATTGTTCCACATGTCTGTGAATCAAAACAACCAATCAAGTGTTGGCATACTCTGTATTTTTTGTGCCAGATTGGACTCAATGGACAGATGTTTGGTATTTTATGTAAATCTTTGCACCTCCAATAGGTAGTATTGGTCAACTATATCATTTTAGCTTACCCTTCCCCTAACCATTATTATAACCTCAACCCAATTCACCTAACCTTTTACGTAAATGATCCTACCTTTGTCGTTAGTTTTACTAAACACTAAAGTAAATTCTCCCCGTAATTCTCCTTTGTTGTTACAACACAACAAGTAACATGGTCTCAGAGAAAGACATATCATACATATTGAAGGAAGTATAGTATTATAAGTTACTCATCCAATTTATAAGAACTATGATACTGTCCTCTAGTTTGTGTGATATTATACGACCGCTGTTTCATTCATAATGTAACCTAACATAAAGTAATCGATTATACTAAATGGTGGGGAACAGATTTATATAGTAATCTAATGAATTCCCCTGAGGCCAGGTTGCAGGTACAGTGCAGACAACTACCTTTAAGAGCTTCCTTCTCCCATGAGAGCTCAATTTAAAACCCTATTTACCTCTCTCTCTTTATATATCTTTCTCTCTCTAAAACAGAGTAAAGAGAGGAATGGTTTGCAGTGATGCAAATAAAACACATTATTTCAATACAACAAACCAACAACCTATAGTTAAAATAGTAGGACACATCAATGTTGCAATGAAATTAATTAAATTAAAGTATATCTACTCAAACTCTGCACCATCTCTCTTATATCAACATAAATAGATGATTCTTTAATTATTATATGATAGACAAAATTAGTTATTTATTAATTATGTTTTGGGAGGGAATATGGAAAACCCTTTCCCCAAATGTTGAATAGGACGCATGACTGACAGCAAGACTAATTCCCCTATCTGGACTAGGACTACCCTAATCAATAAAGCATCCATATCGTATGCCTATGCAATGTCCTTTCATTTTAATTATATTATTAGGACATACAGGACTACATTTAAGGTTTATGTGTAGCGGTAAAATAGGCTTCTGGTATGTTGAGCACAAGTAGTTGCTCTAACATAATTTCCATCATGTTAGGCTTTTATTTTACACAATTTATATAAAATCAGTCATTTATATTTCATAGTAGTTATTGCAATCAATAAACCAAATGCACATGATTTAAGTAAATAAAAGTAAACATAGGCCTACATACCAACAAGACATACCAGCCTCAACTTAACTTTAGCCCTCCATAGCAGGTCCTAACGGTTAGGACCTTACAGGTGCACGTGAGATCGCAACAGACCTGGTCTCACCACCAACCTAACCTCTCTCTCCCTCTGGAGGTAGAGAGAGAACATTACAACTCCATTTACAGCTGTGTAGCTGCCGACCCTGTCAGTAACCAGACCATCACTACACCCTGTGAAGATGGAGATGAGGAAGGTAAGATCAATCATTATCCTTTATTGCCATCAGCTCTGAGTTCAATAAACTATTGTATAAATCTATTTTGACAGGAAGGCTTAGTAGACTTGTTGTATTGTGATTAACCTGAGTTTAGATTGGTCAAGAGCACCTTCTATTGGAGAAAATATAGAATTTCACTGTGAACTCATACAATTATATACTTGCACTTGTGGACCCCAGGAAGAATATCTGCTGATTCTTCAACAGCTAATGGGGATCGGAATAAAATTAAAACTGTTTGAGGTTTGCATAACCTTGTATGCTTCTGTGTTCTATTATGTGAGGTACACTATATATGTATTGCATTTGTTTTTCACCCACACAACAAAGATGAGAGACATGGATGAAGATACTCTTATCCCAGCAGCCTTTGTGGTGTTCTTCAAAGGACAAAAAGCCATTTTAAAACCATCCCGCAACTCCTGCAGTGTCTATTGACATCCCCCAAATTGTCACTGGACCTATTAATTTGTATCTCTTTTGAATATTGGCCAACTGACAATGCTCGCGTTTCCTCTTTAACTTGGGAAATGCCCCCATGATGTGTTATGTTTTATTTCACCTTTATTTACCCAGGTTAGTCTCATTGTGATAAAATCTATTTTTCAAGAGAGACCTGGTCCAACCAAGAAAGCAGCAGGGGGGGACAATGTTTGAGACAAATATCAGACATGCTGTAACAATTTACAGACTTAGACACACCATAAAAAAAAGACAATTGACGTAGACACACATACATTTCAATTACAGAAACATACAATCGTAATAGATAAAAAATCTATCATATGTACCACCGCATCAAGTCCGAATGACAATCACATTACTTAGTAACATGTGAGTCTACCAAACGTTTAAACTCCAAGGAATCAAGATCCTGGAGTTTCAAGCTGGTCTGGTCAGAATTACAAGACCACGGAGCTTAGTTGATAAAACACTTTTTGCATGATCAGTTCTGATTTTAGTAACCGTTAAAAGTAGTGAGACATTAACTGGTATTTATTTCCTGACCTTGTCAAAGAAGAACAGCGATAAAGTGGCAGTTTTCCCAAAATGTCTTTATAGATCATAGTATAACTATGTTTAAGCCTAAGTAGAGTCAACTAAGACCAGCCAACAGCACTATAGAGATCACAGTGATGTGTCAGATGCTTTTGGTTGGTAATAAACCTAAGAGCTGCATGATACACAGAATCAATTGCCTTCAGGGTTGTGCTTGAGGTCTGTATATAAATTACATCACTATAGTCCAAGACAGACAGGAATGTAAACCTATTCTAAACTTGATCTTCTTTACCAGGTTCTCAACATGATTAGTGAAGCTCAGCTTCTCATCTATCCAAACTCCCAGATACTTGTACGTCTTCACTTGCTCTATGGAATTTCCTTCCAAGGTAGTAATGACATGGTTTTCAGAGTGTTTAGTATTGGAAAATACCATGTATTTTGATTTAGAAGAATTTAAAAGAAGCTTCAAATCATACAGATTCAAATCAAATTTTATTGGTCACATGCGCCGAATACAACAGGTGCAGACATTACAGTGAAATGCTTACTTACAGCCCTTAACCAACAGTGCATTTATTTTAAACAAAAAAAGTAAGAATAAAACAACAACAAAAAAAGTGTTGAGAAAAAAAGAGCGGAAGTAAAATAGTGACAGTAGGGAGGCTATATATACAGTAAAATAAAGTGACAGTAGGGAGGCTATATATACAGGGGGGTACCGTTGCAGAGTCAATGTGCGGGGGCACCGGCTAGTTAAGGTAGTTGAGGTAATATGTACATGTGGGTAGAGTTAAAGTGACTATGCATAAATACTTAACAGAGTAGCAGCAGCGTAAAAAGGTTGTGGTGGGGGGGCAGTGCAAATAGTCCGGGTAGCCATGATTAGCTGTTCAGGAGTCTTATGGCTTGGGGGTAGAAGCTGTTGAGAAGTCTTTTGGACCTAGACTTGGCACTCCGGTACCGCTTGCCGTGCGGTAGCAGAGAGAACAGTCTATGACTAGGGTGGCTGGAGTCTTTGACAATTTTGAGGGCCTTCCTCTGACACCGCCTGGTATAGAGGTCCTGGATGGCAGGGAGCTTTGCCCCAGTGATGTACTGGGCCGTACGCACTACCCTCTGTAGTGCCTTGTGGTCAGAGGCCAAGCAGTTGCCATACCAGGCGGTGATGCAACCAGTCAGGATGCTCTCGATGGTGCAGCTGTAGAATTTGAGGATCTGAGGACCCATGCCAAATCTTTTTAGTCTCCTGAGGGGGAATAGGCTTTGTCGTGCCCTCTTCACGACTGTCTTGGTGTGTTTGGACCATGATAGTTCGTTGGTGATGTGGACACCAAGGAACTTGAAGCTCTCAACCTGTTCCACTACAGCCCCGTCGATGAGAATGGGGGCGTGCTCAGTCCTCTTTTTTTTCCTGTAGTCCACAATCATCTCCTTTGTCTTGGTCACGTTGAGGGAGAGGTTGTTGTCCTGGCACCACACGGCCAGATCTCTGACCTCCTCCCTATAGGCTGTCTCATCGTTGTCGGTGATCAGGCCTACCACTGTTGTGTCGTCGGCAAACTTAATGATGGTGTTGGAGTCGTGCCTGGCCATGCAGTCATGGGTGAACAGAGAGTACAGGAGGGGACTGAGCACGCACCCCTGAGGGGCCCCCGTGGTGAGGATCAGTGTGGCAGATGTGTTGTTACCTACCCTTACCACCTGGGGGCGGCCCGTCAGGAAGTCCAGGATCCAGTTGCAGAGGGAGGTGTTTAGTCCCAGGATCCTTAGCTTAGTGATGAGCTTAGAGGGCACTATGGTGTTGAATGCGGCGCTGTAGTCAATGAATAGCATTCTCATGTAGGTGTTCCTCTTGTCCAGGTGGGAAAGGGCAGTGTGGAGTGCGATAGAGATTGCATCATCTGTGGATCTGTTGGGGCGGTATGCAAATTGGAGTGGGTCTAGGGTTTCTGCGATTATGCTGTTGATGTGAGCCATGACCAGTCTTTCAAAGCACTTCATGGCTACAGACGTCAGTGCTACGGGTCGGTAGTCATTTAGGCAGGTTATCTTAGAGTTCTTGGGCACGGGGACTATGGTGGTCTGCTTGAAACATGTTGGTATTACAGACTCAGTCAGGGACATGTTGAAAATGTCAGTGAAGACACTTGCCAGTTGGTCAGCACATGCTCGGAGTACACGTCCTGGTAATCCGTCTGGCCCTGCGGCCTTGTGAATGTTGACCTGCTTAAAAGTCTTACTCACATCGGCTACGGAGAGCGTGATCACATAGTCATCCGGAACAGCTGGTGCTCTCATGCATGCTTCAGTGTTGCTTGCCTCGAAGCGAGCATTGAAGTGGTTTAGCTCATCTGGTAGGCTTGTGTCACTGGGCAGCTCGCGGCTGTGCTTCCCTTTGTAGTCTGTAATAGTTTTCAAGCCCTGCCACATCCGACGAGCGTCAGAGCCAGTGTAGTATGATTCAATCTTAGACCTGTATTGACTCTTTGCCTGTTTGATGGTTCGTCGGAGGTCATAGCGGGATTTCTTATAAGCGTCCGGGTTAGAGTCCCGTTCCTTGAAAGCAGCAGCTCTACCCTTTAGCTCAGTGCGGATGTTTCCTGTAATCCATGGCTTCTGGTTGGGGTATGTACGTACGGTCACTGTGGGTACGACATCATCGATGCACTTATTGATGAAGCCAGTGACTGATGTGGTGTACTCCTCAATGCTGTCTGAAGAATCCCGGAACATGTTCCAGTCTGTGCTAGCAAAACAGTCCTGTAGCTTAGCATCTGCGTCATCTGACCACTTTCTTATTAACCGAATCACTGGTGCTTCCTGCTTCAGTTTTTGCTTATAAGCAGGAATCAGGAGGATAGAGTTATGGTCAGATTTGCCAAATGGAGGGCGAGGGAGAGCTTTGTATGCGTCTCTGTGTGTGGAGTAAAGGTGGTCTAGAGTTTTTTTCCCTCTGGTTGCACATTTAACATGCTGGTAGAAATTAGGTAGAACGGATGTAAGTTTCCCTGCATTAAAGTCCCCGGCCACTAGAGAACAGTGTCATCCGCATAAAAATGTACATTACATCAAATCGAATGTATTGGTCACATACACATATTTAGCAGATGTTATTTCGGGTGTAGCAAAATGCTTGTGTTCCTAGCTCCAACAGTGCAGTAATATCTAACCATTCAGAACAATACACACACATATAAAAGTAAAAGAATGGAATTAAGAAATATATAAATATTAGGACAAGCAATGTCTGAGTGGTATTGACTAAAAACACTGTAAGATACTGTTTTACCCATTTCATATGTATATACTGTATGTAAACGTTATTAAAGTGACTAGTGTTCCATTTAAAGTGACCATCTGCTGTCTCAATGAGTCTCCCAATGTTGTTGGGTCCACCAACAAAATGAAGAACCCTAGTTTAGATCAAATTCAAAGTATGGCAAGTATTTAAGGTGTATTTAATGTCACGTAGAGAAGCTAGATAGTAGAGCTAGAGACAAGTGGTTGAGGAAACAGGCAGTGGGCTTCACGTAAAATGTCCTAATGTGGTCAGAGCAGTAAATGAGATGGGGAAGATAATTGAGAATGCTGTGAATGTCTCAATAATGATACTGTTATAGCGTGAGAAGAAAAAAGCTGTGGGTTTTGAGGGTGTCGCAGTTGTCATAGTGTCATAGTAGAGTGTCTGAACATTGTGAACTGTTCTTGTTCTGGATAAAAACACTCCCATAGAACAAGAAAAGAGACTGCTTTAGTGCCATTAGTACATCTGAATTAACTGACAACTGCTAAATGGTTTAACTAGCTAACAGTGCCTTGCAAAAGTATTCATCTCCCTTGGGGTTTTTCCTATTTTGTTGCATTACAACCAGTCATTTAAATTGATTTTTAATTTGGATTTCATGTAATGGACATACTCAAAATTGTCCAAATGAAATGAAAAAAATAACTTGTTTCAAAAAAAAAAATA